AAATGAACACTGAGGCGTTCTTTACACACATGCGCGCGCACACACAAAGCTGAAAAGGAGGGAGGGGGGGGGTCCATGAAATCTTTGCTAATCTCAGAGGGCATCACAATATAAAATTTGGAAACCACTGCATTTGCTGAGGTTTTTTTAAATTTTTGTTTATATCATAACTTCGTCCTTAAGTTTTACGATAATTTTAAATTTTTATACAATAATTAAAATTACTTAAGATGCGTATACTACTACAAATTTGAATTCTCTGTTCAAATTCATCCGTGCTGCAAAATAAATTTAAAAAAAAAACACGAGTTTGTCGCGAGCTACAAAAACTACAGAATCACTGGTGTAGACACATCGAGTAGCTTGCTTGGTGTAGTTCATTACTGCACATATGGAGTTCGCAGTCGATCTCTAAGAAACACTATAATTAATTAATTAATTAATCGTCATAACTAAAATCCCCTTCAGACACAACAGAGACCACGCATCGCTGAGCCGAGAACTCAAGAGTATCATGAGTCCAGAATGACTTTGCAGAACGAATCAACCGAATCGGGCGGTAAATTAGCTACGTTTTGTAAGTTTTTAATTCGAATTTCATTTTATGTCTCAATATATGTGCAGTCTATTACGTAAATCATTCTGATATTAATTATGAGAATGTCAGGAATTCTAAGTATCAAAGGCTTAGACTTAAAAGACATAACAAAAAACTCTCACCTCTTCAAGCAGCTGACGAAATTTAAGTGTGCCTGAAGAAATACGATGGTTAATTTGTCTCTTATTTTCACCTAAATCGTTTGCATCTTGCTAAATATTTACCGGCACACAAAATCAAACTGAACATAAATTTCGGTACACGTTTGAAGTAAAATAAAATTAGTGTCTCCCAAAAAGTACATACACATTACAATACGGAATATTAACCTTTCGTACATACATCTTTTTGGAAAACCTGGAATAGAAAACCGGTTCAGATTTTTTAAACTGTTGAAGTACGCTTAGCGAAGACAATTAATCGGTACCTACATAAAGCAGGGCTTTCTGGTGAACTGATAGTAGGTGAGCTGGTCAGAAAATTACCCGTCTTTAAGGAACACACAGAATAATTATCGTGTTCACACAAGACCTTCCCTTCACCTTTTCTTTTCTGAATCAGATAATCCAGTGCACATACATCCTATATCTTCAAGACTCATTTTAATATTATCCTCCCATTTATTCTTAGGTCTCATTCACTCAACATTTCTCTCATGAATTTAATTTCCTTCGTAATTTCTGGTGAAGAGTTTAAGTCATTAAACTTCCATTATGCAAATATACCGGTCCATAATTTTGCAAGTGATACTAAAGTTATCTTAAAGTTGTCTTTAACTTATCTTCGTTGCCAAAGTATAATAAACTAATTTTATTACAAAGAATATTCTATAAAAGATATGTACGATCGTGTATTGTAATATTTTTAGCTAATATTTTGGGCATTATCAACTGTCTCTTGTTCCTGATAAGCCAAAACGCGCTCAGCTGTTAAGTAAATTATACGTACTTTATTGAACCCAAAGATTAAATATAGTTTACAGCCACACACACTATTTCTTTAAGACAAATGTTAATATCTGGGTTTTTTTTAAGTATTCTCTTCTTTTTAGGTTTTCCGACTAAATTTTCAATGAATTTCCAATTCGTACTATTGCGTGCTGCACGCCGAGTCCATCTTATCCTCTCTGATTTGTTCGCCCCGATCCATCTGTCCCTTCCAGTCATATTTGTAGCTGATTGTTCCCAGATCCTGTTTCGTCGGCTGTTTGCTTGACTTCTCCGAGACTGTTACCAGTCTCCTGACAACATACTCGCTGTAATGTGATCAATGGACACGACCTTTTCAGATCAGAAATTCGGTATTTCAGGGCAATTAGTTTCTTGTGTCTGCGTCAATCAGTGGACAGACAGCTCACAGGACGGACGCAGTTACTTCGTCAACCACTAAGCGTTTTTAATACGATAGACGGACATGACTACAGAAAGTTACTGTGATATTCGTACAAAATTACGTATTAAAGTCGAAGAATAATATAATACCTTAAAAATAGACGAACCATCAATCTTTATGCCAAATTATGTATAAAAAAACACTGTATTGTTCATGATTCAATATTAAATCGAGGCAAAATTTATAAGAAAATTAATTTAAGTTACGTCCTCAAATGAGGATATTTTGAGCGGCAAGTCGTGTGTTCCAAAACCTCCAAAGAGTACGTAGGAGTACTGACCACTAATTTTCTCGAAAAATAAGTGCACACATTAATGAAATTACGAGCTGACATGCCTTAGTAAGCTTTGGATGTTGAACTGCTGTATTAAATTTCAATTAATTATTCGGTTTTGTCCGTCTAATCACAATTATAATTAAAATTTACAAATAAGATAATTAAAATATCATTTTATGTCCCACATCGAATAATCGATTTACATTTGGAACATTTTTACAACAAGTTTCGGTTTCATCGAACCATCTTCAGGTGTAAAATTATATCAACAAACTTAAAACTCAATTACAATTTCTGTTGTGTAGCTTTTTGGTGATGTTCATATCCAGA